AAAAATATTCTTGAAGTAATGTTAAGCAATCATGCAACTACATTTATAGCTCTTGCTAATGTTTCTGTCCTATCTTATGGATGCTCAATTTGCCCATGGCGGTCCGTAAGGCCTATTTTCCTGCCTCTCTCACCCTCCGTCTCTGTTCTCAGGGCATCACGCGCCAGTCCAGCGCTGATATTTTTCGACGAGTTCGAGTCTCTGGCGCCGCGGCGCGGACACGACAGTACGGGCGTGACGGACCGGGTAGTGAACCAGCTACTGACGCTGCTGGACGGCGCGGAGACGCCGGCCGGCGGCGGTCAGCTGGCCCTGCTGGCCGCCACCAGCCGGCCGGACCTGCTGGACCCGGCGCTGCTGCGACCCGGCCGGCTCGGCCGCCTGCTGCGCTGCCGGCTGCCCGACCGGCGCGAGCGGGTCGAGATCCTCTCAGCGCTGACGGCTGAGCTGACGCTGGCCGCTGACGTGCAGCTCGAGCGGCTGGCCGAGCGGGCCGGGCTGAGCGGCGCCGATCTGCGCGCGCTGGTCACCGACGCGCACCTGCGGGCCGTGCGGGACGCCGCGCCGCCGCCGGAGCTCGGCGCCCAGTCGGACAGTGCCGGGGGGCGGCGGTGGCGCCTGGTGGACGGCCCTCCGCTGACACCGGACGAGACGGGGGTGGTGGACGACCACCCCGCGCTGACGGCCGTGACCGAGCTCAACAGTAGCGGAGAGGGCACTGCAGGCACAGTCGACCAGACAGCTGTGGTGATCACTCAGGCGCATTTAGAGGCGGCCCTGGCCGATCTGAGACCGTCACTGTCACCCTCCGAGATGGCAAAATATGACGCCATCTATAGCCAGTTTGAGCGAGGTAGAGGCGGCGGGGATGGCGCTGGAGAGGAGCAGGGAACGGTTGGCGTCGGAGCCATACAGAAGGTGGCGGTACTCAATGGAGAGGGCGGCGGTAGCGAGATGGGCGCCAGGCAGCGGGTGTCGCTGGCATGATGGATCAGTTACGCCCCACGTCGAACTAGGGCGCAAGTTTTCCATGGCCCATCGCACCACTTTCTGCACTCGAGCTTAGTGTGCATGCTGCACTGTGCGTAGTTGTTATGTTTGTTACTCTGGGGATTGTCATTGTTTTTCGTTGTAAATGTGTTAGAAGGGTACGATTTGACCCCATGTGATTTGATAGGCGCTATTCGAGAAGCATCACAGGAAATCACTTGATATTTTTATACAAATGTCTATTGTGCGATCCATGGAACGGAAATAGCTCTTGTCGATGACGTTTATATGATTAATACTCGATTAGCCAATTGCCTAAGCTGTTTCTTTAGTCTTGATTTTCCACTTTCATGTCCCTCAGCGATACTCGACCCGTCTGAAACAGCTCGACCACGCTCCCTGTCTGTCCGATGGGTTCTCGCCCGCGCCCAATCCCTGTAACCCTCCCTCCGTCTCCGCCGCACACTGGTCGGAAACGCCCTCACGAGAGGCCACGGGCGATTCCGGAGTTTCGGATTATTTTTTATATAGATCGATTTGAAATTGATCAAATTATTATACTTGGCCAGAAAAACTAATCCGGGTGACCAAAAATAGCTGTAATCAGCCCCCGAAGATGGGGTATCCCAGAATTCGGAAACTGACGCGGAGCAAGAGGTTTCTTGAGCCGGATATTCAGAGTCTTATTGCTGATAGACACCAAATTGAAATCCCACATATTATGCATCAAAATGTTCGTTATGAAGTTGCCGACTGGTCAGTGCAAAATTTTTGGTATACTTTTTCCTAACTAAGATGTACTATAGCTTTTTTATGAAGACTCTCCTACAGTGATTCTGGAATATAACTGCAAAGTTTAGGTAAGGAAACAACAGGTAGTCCCATCTAGTTCCACTCTGATTTTTTGTGAGATGAAGTAGGATTTAAATTTACACCAGGGCAACATAAAAGCTAACTGCGCATATTTGCGCAAAATTTGCAGGAGCCGCTCTTCCTACCCAACTACCGCCCGCCCCGCCCCAGTTTCGGCTCGGCCGCCGCGCCCGGCTTACGCTGACCTGTGTGGCCTGCACGCATCCATGCGTAGTTGACTGGTCATTAAAAACAGATGCGCTTGAGTTTATGAATTTTGTGAAAAGCGCGTTTTATGTATGCATTTATGTATGTATTGACATCAAGAGCCTTCCACATATTGCGTGGCGATTACGGCTTGCATTTAGAGAGCCTTGCTATTGCCAACCATCACTCGGCTGAAGAAAGTGGAAATTGAAACCTTCGTGAATATAAGACGCTGCAAATATAGGACACCTGTCACTGACGTCGGGTTACTTTGGGCCGTCTTTTTACATTAGATCACAATTCCGGTATTTAAAACCCTGGCCGGACCGATTGGTTTTCTACATTGACCGGGGAGGGTTGGTACAACTCCCTCGCCGTTTCGCCTCTAATTAAGCTAGAGCCTCGCGGAAAAAAACAAGCTTGTGTGCCGTTATAAGACGTAAAAATTAGGTACTACCCGATTTTAAGGTCTTAGGTCAGCCAGTGACCTTTTAGGTCAGGTAAGTGCCACAAGGCACGGGCTCGGTTTTAGGTTAATTACTTTGCCAAAAATGGTCGCACTGCCGCGATTTTGGCATAATCATGTTTGTCTAGCTCAGGCGCGTTGAATGCTATACTTGGTGTTCGGGTGAAGTCAACTTAAGGTGTTAACCTCGGGTCAAGGTCAGGTCGGAGCCCCTCAGGTCACGAAAATGGTTGAAGGAGGTCATATTGCATATCATTCGATTCGGCAGGTCTTCCTGAGTCCAATGGTGGCTTTCCCGACTCTCTAGCTCCATCTGACCAGGAGTTATTGACGAAAAACTTACATGACCTTAGTGACGTCATAAATGACGTCACGCAAAGTCAACAATGCTAAAGTCAAGCACTGGACCTTGCAAGGAGTGCATGAAACCATTCCCGGAGCCCGAATAGCAGCTCCCAATTTCCCTTGTTGACTTATAGTGGTGCTAGATCCTGTATTATACTCAATTATGACGTCATAACTTAACAGATTCACGTCATATATTTAGTGCTTGACATCCAAATGACAGCTTACATATGACAGAGAAGGTATGCAAAGTTTTATGAAGTTTGCTTCACTAGTTGTGGAATAACAAGCAAAAAACTTTTGCGGAAAGGCCGCTGGCCTCTCGCTGGAGCGTTTCCGACCAGTGTGCGCCGCCGCGCTGTGACCTCCAGGTTCTGGTGGCGCTCACCAAGACTGACCTGACCACCCCGGCGGCCGTTACCGAGTACCGGCTGCTGCTGCGGCTGGCTGACCTCCGTCAGCTCAGCGCCCTCCGGCTGACGGTGGCGGAGCTGAGCTGTCTCACTGACGCCGGAGTGGATCAGGTGGTCGACTGGGTGGCCGCCTGTGTTGGGTAGGAGGGGCGGGCGATGGGGGCTGTGTGGATATGGGGGAACTGCGTCAAGAAGGGAAGGTGGTAATGATGACCCAGAAGGGGAGATTGCTTGGAATTACATACAGCATACTGGCCGGTCACGAAATAATGTAGGAGGGTAAGGTGGCCGCTGGGTCTGTTTTAGACCTGACGATGCCCGAAATATCGTCGCAATAATCCTGAGCCATGTTTAACTTGTCAGCTGGTATGCGGCATACACTCGGGAGTTCGGTGCATCAATTTCAGTGTCGGTGGTTTCGTTGTGAAGTTATGGGGGTAATAGTTTTTACTGTGGCCGTGAAGTCAACCGTGGACTCTTATTTACACCACGGGATGTTACGAACGCCCAGGCACTTAATTATCAGTTCGTAGACGCATAGACTGAACGTTCAGGGAAAGATCGGGTGCGTATTGACCAGTAAAACGCCTTTTGGGCGAAGAACGAGCGAGCGAGATAGTGAGCCCTGCACGTGCGGAAGGGGAGAGGGTGCTTCCAACGGGCTTGTGCAAAGCACCCTTCTAGCTGGTCGCTAGCGGTGTGCCAAATTTGAACGCAATCGGCCCAGCCGTTCCTGAGATCTGGGAGCGGCATTCTGCACGTGCGCACGTGCAAACGGGGTCCAAAATGACTTTTGCACGGCACCCTACTAACTGGTCCCCAACCGTGTACCAAATTTGAGCGCAATCGGCCCAGCCGTTCTCGAGATCTGGAAACGCCCCCTGCACGTGCGCACGTGCAGTAGCACCCTAACCGCAACACATGGGAATGCTTTGCCTGGTGGGTGCCTACCTGTATGCCAAGTTTCAGCGAAATCGCCCCAGTAATTACCGAGTTACTGAAATGGGAACAAATTTGGCACCTCTTATTGTTGTATTTTGCACGTGCACTGGGGGTGACCCACATACATGGAGAGTATCCTATTTTAGGTAGAAGGAATGCTGCTACCCTACAAAAATTACCGCAAGTCAATCGCCCAAGCGGCTGCTGAGATATGAGCCTCTCAAAATCACTTCTTTTGCAAAACAGCTTGAACACCCTTGACTTTTCACGTGGCACGTGCCACGACGGTCACTGAGATGTATCAAAAGTAGCCAATTACGGGGTAGAAGGGATGGGGCTACCCAACAAAAAAGACCGCAGGCCAATCGGTCCAGCGGTTGCTGAGATATAAGCCTCTCAAAAGCGTTACAGGCCGGGCCGGGCCGGGCCGGGCCGGGCCGCTCATACTGAGATTTTTCCGTTATATTGAAAAGACTCACTTCGCTCGCTGCGCTCGCTCGCTCGTAATAACCGCTGGTTATGGGGGCATCTCATTGATCGTGTATGTTATCTGGTCCGTCCTAGTCACAAATACATATCACCGTCGAACCACGCCGGCTGCCTTTTCTCTCCAGATTTCCTACAGCTTTCTTGTGCATTGCCGTTTTTTTAACCGAATATAAATGCAACCCACGGGGCGACGCAGACGCTCGAATTCCACATCTTTTGCAACCAAACCTTGGTTTTCCCCCGTACCTGTCGAAGTTATCTACCACCTGGGTATTGTCCAATGCCATCACGCCATCTCTGTCAACTCGGTACACGTATATTCATCACACGTCGTCAACACGGGGCAGCGCAGCGGCAGCGAAGCTCGGGACGCGCAGTCGGGTCAGATACCGTCCCAGTGAGGGCCTCCTGTCCTCCCCACCCCCTCCCCTCCCCGCAGCGGGCGGGGCAGCTGAGCACGCCCAGTCTTCGCAACAACACCGCAATGGCAGCTCTTGGAGCAGACGGAACGGCGGCACAAAAATCACATCACTGCCGTCTTTACCGAGCTCGGGACAGGTCATCGTTTCAGCTGACAAACCAGATCTTTCGTAGTCCAAAACGCGAAGCTTCAATGAAGAGAGGATGACAACAGCTGCAGTTCTGAACGTCGAGCAGTGATCCCAGGTGACACCTGAAGCAGTCCGTCTGTGTGAGTCCGTTCCGTCCCGCCGCGCTCCTGTACAATTCACTGGCGGGGCGCGCGGCCTCGCTCGGTACAAGTCACAGCGCTGGGTGGCAGCAGCGGCCGGCGGCGCCTCTCAGTGTATCCTGGTGAGCTCCTCCACCGCCTTGATGATGTCATCCACGGTGGCGGCGCGCCGCTGGCTCGACGAGTCGGTGATCTGCGCGGAAACGCGAGCACAAAGGTGAGACGGTGGAGAAACGAGTGGTGCTAAGGATGCTTGCACAGGATTTAGTAGCAGCTCGGTGGTTTGTCACCGTAGATTTAAACGCGCGAAAACGTGATGGGTACCCAATAACAGCCGATCTTTCAGTATTTGGTTTCTGGTGAAGCGAATATGCCTGGCCTATCGACATCGGACTCTTGAACATCGGGAGTTGCATTTAAAAATGTGGAGGGTGTCGATTTGGTGTGAGGGCGGCTACATTCGACTTGTGGTCATTTATGTGCGTAATGCTCAATTTTACGTTAAAAAAACAGCTACACACCCATAAATAACCAAGTGCACCTTCCGGTTCCCCTTCCCGGACACCCAAACCACAACCACCATCGGCTCACCATGAGATCTCGGACGACCTCTGCCATCTGGTCCCGGTTCAGGTCCAGGAAGCTCTCGATCAGGTCCCCGTCGATGAATCCTTCGCACGGCTCCGTCTTTCGTTCACAGCGGTAGGCCCGCCACGCCGAGTGTTCGATTTTGCCGACGGGCCGGATGACTCGTGTCAGCTGGTGCTGCAGCTCCGAGATGAACGAGTAAAACTCGGGCTCCAGCTGGGTGACTAGACCTGCGGGAAGGATAGAGTGGGGTGGGTCAGGCCAGACTCCGAGGGGCGATACAAGTGGAGGAGAATGACGTTCGAGGGAATGTCGGAACGCCGCTTTTGGACGCACCATGCGTCCGACCGGTTGATGTAGTGATTATTCCAAATTGGTGTGGTCCAAACTAATTAGAGTGACAACGCTAACTTAGTCCTCATTTATGTGTCCAATATTACCGCTAAAGTCCCACAAGGAACCAGCATGATCCAGCTGCACAGACCAAGACAGCTCTTGAGCTGGTGATCTGAGGTGGAGAAAAGAGAAATGGTGATCTGAAGTGGAGAAAAGAGAAAAAAGAAAGAAAAAAGGGCAGACCGCACGTAACGGCTACGGTGCGTACCGTCTTATCTTTTGCACCCACGCATCATTTCGTCCCCCGGCCCGGAACATACTAAATAAGCCCCGAACGTCCCACCGACCCCGAGGACGTACTTCTTCCCTCGTGTACGTACCGACGGATCCCTGTACGGTGCCGAAGAGCACGCAGCCGGAGGTGGGCGCCATGCTCTCTGTGACTCCCTGCATCACCAGCGAGCCGTGTCGGAACACGTTTACCATGTCGCCCACGTGGTACCGTCCCACCTCCTGCATCTGCATCCGCTCCTCGTCTGTGGTGGCAGCGCTACGGGGCGGGAGGCAGGGGACAGGGGGACGGTCAGATCGTCACAGAGCACGACGAACAGCTGAAGGCAATAGAGCGGGAGTAGCATATTAAGTCAGGCCGCTTTTCTGAGCGGTCAGGTCAAGTAGTATACTCACTCACACAGCTCACACCCGATAGAGGTGGGCCACGACCGGAGTTTGACGGTGATGACAGGCGCACAGCTGCGACCGAGAGGGAAGCTCGTAGGTGGCTAGTCTATTTCGCTCACCTGTCTTTTTGGCAGACGAACAGGTTGTGGCTGTTCTCGGCGCCCAGGTACGTGTCGTCGTCGAGAATCTCCACCGCCGTCATGTACTTGGCGTTGAAGTCGCGCGCCATCTGCCGACAGCGGTGGCGTCAGCGTCAGCACATACACCGCAGGTCGAGCATCTCAAGCCCTGGACCCTGGTACGGGGACCCGCAGTTGCTTCTGTACACGAACCCCAACTCTAGCCGTCTGTCCTGTCCAGTAACAACCGATAACATTGATATCGACTGCTGGTCTCTGTACAAGAGCAGCTGAGGTTGTCTGGGCGTACCCTCTGACAGCTTATCGTTGTTCCCTGTGAGGGTGCTGGGACAATTTACTCAGGGTCGCTGTACAGTAGCAACTGCGGGTCCCCGTACTAGAGCTGGAGACTTAGGCGACTTAGAAACCGATTCATGGACGTCTACGAGCACTTCAGTCGCCCCTAAAATCAGACTCACTTATCAAAAACACCATGCCTTTTAAAAAATGCTTCCTGATGCTTTTAAATGCTATCTTCCTTCGTACTTATTCTACAGCCCCATATTCGGCCCAGGCCTAAACGGCCGAATCCTATTTCCAGCCTATCCTGGCCTATCCAGCTTGCTTTGGCGGCGTTTTCGCGCACCTACCTCGTCAAAGTTGCCCTCCATGGCCTTGTACTGTAGCGCAGTGATTGATCGCATCAGGTCTCCGACCAGCACAAAGTCGCCCTTGGTCTTGAGGTAGAGCGCTACCACGTTGTTGAAGTGACTGCACTCGAGTCGGAGCTCATGCTCGGCCGTCCATTCGAATAGCCGCACCTGAGGGCGGCGGGCAGCGGGGGAGGTCAGAATAGCCGCACCTGAGGGCGGCGAGAGAAGTCAGAATAGTTACACCTGAGAGTTCAGACAGTAGGCGAGGAGGTCAGAACAACGTATCTCAAGCTGAGCGTCGCCGTGAGTCCGATTAGGAGATTAGATCAATCATGGGGGTTGACACAAGACAAACTAAGTCCTCTTAAGGCCTACGGAGGTACGGAAGAGCGGAACTTCTGGGCTTCCATAGCACTTAAGTGAGTTAAGTCTGTCTGCGGTCGCGATGCCTCCCGTACCGTGCTGTTGATACTGGCCAGCAGTTTGCCGTTGAAGGCGGCCAGGCTGTAGCAGGCGCCCTTGATCTCCTTCTCGGAGACCTGGTTCAGCTTCTGGTCGTTGTACTGGAACACTACGATCCGACCCTGGGGACACGGCGAGGAGGGTAAGATCAATCGATATTCGATACAATTTTTCAATCCCATGAATATTATAAGTAGCGAGCACTACAATACCATTTTATTGCTGTCTAGTCTACCAAATGACTTACCCATATCACTTTCTAGTCTAGTAGCACGGAATATATAGTCTACGACATATATAGTCTGTCGTAGAATACATATTCCGTGCTAGTAGTTAACTTACCCGCAGCACTTTTCCTATTAACATCAATACTAAGAGGCCCTGTTTTATGGATGTTATAAAGTATCGTCATTCGTCAGTCTTCTGCAGGCTTGTGCGACAGTAACTCCCTCTTTGCAGTATGACATGCATCACTAAAATATTGTAGGAGACCTAATCTTTATACGGAGCAGAAAAGTCCCTCCTGATCATACCCTATCCACACTCCTCCCCTCATAGCGTCCCAAGCGACACACACCTGTTTGGGCTCTGACTCCTCGGGGTTGACGTAGGCGGTGCCGACCACGAAGTAGCAGGCCGGGTCGTTGTCAAACTTCATCGAGATCAGGCTGAGAGCATACTCGGAGGGTACAAACGAGTGCGCGTGCTGCACCTCGAACGTGTGCTGGTCGATGATGAGTAGACTGTGCACCTCCACCTGGAGGAATGGCGGCCGCGGAGGGAAGGAACGGTCAGAGAAGAGACCAAAAGAGCCCCCCACCTACAGTCAGAGCCGCCACGGACGGGAGGGGACGGTCAGATATCAGACTCAAAGGGAGCAGACGTGTGCTTATAGTTTGAGGCATGAGTCGTGAGTTCACACGCTGCAGAAAACCACGATATCGGCTACTTGAGACACTCACAGACTTCGTAATAAGTCGATGATTGTCTAAAGTGGTAGCGATATTTCACTTAAGTTTTTTTTTTTTTTACTCGACTGTTCAAGTAGGACGCCGAGCAGCACTCATGAATCATGTCATGTATGCGCTGAATACCGACCTCCTGTCCCTGCTCGAGCTGCTGCAGTGAGGGCCGGTGCAGCTGGCTGCTGGACGACTGTGTGATGGTTTTGGCCTCGGTGGAGGCGGACGGTCGCGGCGCCACCAGACAGCTGGAGCCCTGCTCGTCCAGACGCATCGAAAGCACGCCGAACGTCTGAAAAACAGACCGGTGACGTTAAAAACGATCACTGATCAATGACGTGATGGCGGACCAAAGGAAAAATCCGGAACTACAGAGAATACTACATAGATACTAGAAACAGAATAGAACTAATAAGAATTTGTAGTTATGTCCATCAAAAGACCTTGATGTCACATCTAACGGCGATTCACGGTGACAAGGAGGACGTCTAAGGCCAAGGGCGTTTCGTCCTCATCCACTCCGCCGGGAACACGCATGTCGCATATATTCTAACGCTAGTCACGCAGTACCATGGTCGTTACTCGTTCCCTCCCCTTTGTCCGCGGCCACACGGTGAGACGGCCGGGTTTCAGTCAACTCCTGACCTCTCACCTCTGTGGACTCCCGGCCTCTCACCTCAGTGGACTCCTGGTAGGCGATCCGCCGCGGCGACTCGTACAGTTTGACGGAGCGGATGTGCAGCTTCTGAATGTCGTCCACCACGCCGATTGTGATCGTGGTGTCGGTGGCCAGCGCCAAACTGGTCACACAAAACGAACGGGCGAGACAATGTCAGTAAGAAAAAATAGATATATCAGCTGATAAAAATGCTAACAGGATTTGCTGATTTTTAGCAGAAAATCATCGCGGCCATCGCAGCAGGGCTGCAAGCTCCCAACGCAAAGTGACCCAAAACGGTTGGAGATGCCGGGGTTTGAACCCGGGGCCTCTCACATGCGAAGCGAGCGCTCTACCACTGAGCTACATCCCCACTTGGAACAGGTCGATCCAAACGAACAACTGAAAGTGAAGAACAGTGACAGCTGCCAGCCGGATATGTCTGTGACAACTCTGATCAGAAAAGGGTAATTACTAGTCAACTGTAAGTCTGTACTTCAATCAGCAAGGTAAAACGGCTGATCACGAAAAAAGCAAGAGTTCAGAAGGCACTCCCCACTCCACACAAGGGACCCCTGATGCCTGACGGGAGTGGTCAGCGGTTGCGAGAGCAACAGCAGCAAGTGAGATCATTGAATTATACATGGCACGTACCGTACCGTATCAATTACAGCACCCCGGCGGCCTCACCTGTTCCTGTAGGCGCGCGTGTTGAGCGTGCACATGTGGTTGACCTCTCGCAGGTTGACGTTGGAGAAGACGAGCTTATAGTTTGATGAGTAGATGACGGCCGGCCGATCGGAGCAGGCGAACACGGAGCTGGTCGAGTGGGGCCGGAAGGCGCGCAGCACCGTCGGCTGGGTGCCCAGCGTCACCTGATGGACGGCGGTACGGGTCAGAGCGGACACACATCAGCGCTGGCACGCGTCCCGCGGGCAGTTACCTACAAATGTGAACTATACTGCTAACGTAACTCTGAACAAAGTTAATAGCGATCGTTGATAATAATGTGAGCGATCCATCAATGCAACATTTTTGGAGTACCTGAGTGGCCCTTCACGATATTGGTCACGATAGTGGTCCTTCACGATCCTTCACGAAAATATTGTAACAATATGTATGCTTACAAAGCCTATGCTCAAAGTACAGGCATGTGAACTGTGAAGGTCATTGGCTACTGTTGATAGGCGTGAAAAAATGTGATAATTCGTGCAAAAACCCAACACTTTCGTATAATAAAATCCCAAAATACTGATGACCATGCCACGAACCGACCTTTTTCTTCTCTGTCAGCAGTCCGCTCTTGAGGTGTACGTGGAAGTAAAAGAGTGAGCCATCACCCATGGCCACCAGGCAGTAGGGCACGCCCTCAAACTCGGCCAGCAGGATGGACCTGATGGGGGAGAATTGGTCAGTTGTGCAACATAGTAAACAAACCTGCCAGGCATCAATTCGTTCATTACATAACACTATAACTAGCTAACATTCGGAAACTATAACTGGCCAACAGACGCACTTAATCTGACTCTAACTGGCATACGCACCGCACTGTACTGACTCTAGCTGGCATAGGCCACACTGTATAATGATGATGATGATGATGATGATTAGAGGATTTCTGGAGCCCGGAACTGCGGTGGTTATCGGAGCTCATAACAGACCACACTGTAACCTAGCTAAGTAGACCATCGACACTGCCACTGACATTTAGACGACGTACTAACTCACCTGGGGATGATCTCGCCGCCGAGACACTCTTTACAGAGCGGCTGCAGGGCCGGCAGGGAGAGTGTGCGTGCCGAGATGTCGGTCCACAGGGCCACGGCGGCCAGCTCAGCGCGCTGTTGGCCGGCCGACGGCGTCAGGTCGATACAGGCCACCTCGTGCTCCAGAGTGGTCATACTGTGAAACGGGCGAGGCGGGAACGAGGGTTAGCGTTTCAGATCGTCTCGGGAGAAGGGCTTGATAGACATATCGTCGCGATTTAACGGGTTCGATAACAAGTAAGCGGTAAGCGGTACAGTTATAGAAGGACGGACGTCCGAACAGACAAGAAGCACTGAGTCACTGGCCTATAATTGGGGAGGAACGTGTATGTACTGCATGTATTACACGGCCGGTTATATAGTTGGAAATTCTACGAGCGAATGCTTCAATTCCGTACAAATACATCCACAACTATCGTCATGGAAGATAAAACTCTGCATTAAGTGCTTGGTAGTGAAGAAAGATGCTCACGTTCACGTTTACGCCTGAGCCCAAAAAGTACTGGTATTCCGCAGTCCATACAGCGACACCCCAGTCATATCCCCAGAACTACACTGCATCAGACCCCCACGTCCCTCGCCCGTCGCCCACTGACCTTTTTTGGACAACCTCTCCGCTCTCAATCTCCAGGTAGAAGAGGTCGCTGCCGACGGCGCAGGCCAGCTGGCACGTGTTGGCCGTGACCACGGAGATGTTTCGGCCGCCCGGCGGACGCCACTCACTCAGTAGTCGGCCCGTCGAGTCGCTGAGCAGACGCGCAGAGCTGGCCGTCACCTGGTCGGCGGGAAAGGACACGGTTCAGTGATGTTGGGAGATGTTGGTGGTGTGGTGTCAATGGTCATGTCTTACTTAGAATAGTGGAAAACGGTAGTGAAAGGGTATAATAACAAAAAAGTAGAGTCGTGATAAAGTAGGCACTAGACATTACCTCTAGAAGCAATAAACGATTTGTGAGAATGACTTTCTGTCCCCAAACCACATGAAAGCAGGTCGTAAGCCCAGCTAAAAGTCGACTGACCTGGAGAATCTGCGAGTGTTGTACGTTACTGCAGAAGAATGTCTGCTGATCGCTGGCCAGACCGGCAATCTCCGTCTCCTCTACCTCGTCTCCCACCAGACTCAGCACTCTGTAATGGGGGAAGGGTCAGTTACCGACGTACTGAGAGGTATGGACACTGGACAGGTCAGTTGCAAAAAGAAACCAGCCACACTGAGCACTTTGAAACGGGGGAAATGACACGAAGAGAGCAATTACGAGACATTCACCACTGACTAAGCATCCTGTGACATTGCTTGTAAACCAATAACACTTATTGACAACCAATGATGGAAAAACAACAACACAAAACACCAGACCCAACAGCTTCCCGACCTTTTCCACCCATGTCTCCCTTCTGCCCTCACTCTCCCATAACCCAGCCATTGCTCACCGCGTCTCTCCGACGAAGGCGATGACGAGCGTATTGTCAAACAGCTCGTCTCCGTCTCCGTCTCCGTCTCCGCCGGCTCCCACCCGCAGACTCCACATGGCCTTGATGCCGGCCAGGTCTATGCTGGCCAACTCGTGGATGCCGATGCCGTTCCTGATGACCCGTAGACTGCCGTCTTTGAACGCTCCTGGTGACAAGGAACATCGGTTAACCGAGTCGTACATCTAATTATCATCCTATTCGCAAATGTATCTATTTCCAAAGCCCCATAACCTTGATGTCGGTACATATTCTGATCATATTATTCGCAAAGGTATCTAATATCTATTTCCGGAACCTCATAGCCTTCATGTCAATCATTTTCATACCGTCGCTAAATCTTATCATCCTCAGTTCCCGTCCCCGGACCTGGTCACCCTGGTACGTCTTTCACATGAGTAGGGGAGAGTGGGGCAAAGCGGCCACCCTAACGCTTCTCACGATGCCAACGCTTGATTTTTAAACTTGGAAAGATTCTTTCTATACCAATGTGATCCCTATTAAGTTGCCTTTTATTTCAACTGCGTTTTATTTCCAAAGGCGTTCACATATGAAAGATATTGACAAAACTTTAAACCTATGCATATTGGCCACTTTGCCCCATACCCTGGGGCAAAGCGGCCACCGGCGTCTTCTCAAGTCCCGATATGAGAAACAAAATAGTTGCCTCGTGTACGACTAGGGTATTTGATGGTGACAAGGTTAAGCGAGGATGGAGGTTTACTTTATCATCTTCCACCTGTAGGTAAACAAAGAAAGGATTTTCATGAAAATAGACATTTAATTGCATTATTTGGTAACTCATGCAACTGAAAAGTGGCGAAGATGAATGCATGACGACACATTTGAATATAAATAATGTTTTTTATCCAGATGGAAGCAACTTACGGCCAATTGGGGGGTGGCCACTTTGCCCCGGCCACTTTGCCCCGCGCATACCGTCCGAGACAAAAACATTCCAGCTTAGCTATTAGTGGGGTAAAAAACATTAAAATTGGTAGAATACATGTATGATAGCCATGCAATGCATGGACAAGAACGCTTATAAAAATTCCAAACGGTTATGGAATAACATAACATTAAAAAATTGTAAACATAGTTGGTAACCTGGCAAGAAATGCTTTTCCGTGTTTCACAGAACAATGGTGATGGGCCTGAAACCCCGGTCTGGCTCATTCGAACGACCGTGAAGAGAAGTATAATTGGAAACCATAAATTGGAACTGACGCCAGCTATGAAGGGCTAAAACGATGGGTGGCCGCTTTGCCCCGGGTGGCCGCTTTGCCCCACTCTCCCCTACGTGACCAGATGCCCCTGCCGTCCCCTCACCTGAGCACCTGTGACGTGACCTGACCCTGCCGTCCCCCTGCCGTCCCTGACTTCAGCACGTGACCAGTTGTCCCTGATCCTGCCGCTCCCTCACCTGAGCACGTGACCAGCTGTCCCTGATCCTGCCGCTCCAGGACCCCTCCCCCTGCCGTCCCTCACCTGAGCACGTGACCAGCTGTCCCTGACCCTGCCGTCCCTCACCTGAGCACGTGACCAGCTGTCCCTGGCCCTGCCGTAACACGTGACAAGCTGCCCCTGCCACCCCCGCCGTCCCTCACCTGAGCACGTGACCAGCTGTCCCTGGCCCTGTCGCTCCAGGTCCACCACCACCATGTCCACGATGGGCGCCAGGTTGGTGTGTGAGTCGAGCACGGTCAGGTAGGAGCCGTTCTCGTCGGGCTGCACCCGGAGCTGGACCAGCTGAGAGTCGCCCAGCCGAGAGCCCACGAACACCACGCCGTTGTCCAGGTAGTTGATACACTCTGGAATACTGCACTCGCCTAGAGAAGGACGGAAGGATGGATGGAGGGAGGGAGGGGGAGGGAGCTGTCAGACACAGTCAGATCAAACTACGGTGGCAGTGTACTCGTATCACAAACCATGCAAACGTGTTGTAGTCAAGCAACGTCATAGATACATCATACCATCAGACCCTCGAGCTACCGAACTTCGAACTTCACCCTCGAACTTCCGGTGATCCAATCTTCCCAGTTCCCACACCGTCAATTTCTATAATTCGCTTCCTCGCTCTCCCTATCCTCCCTCTGTCCTCCCTTCCTCCCCCGTCCTCACCGAGTAGTTCGACCTGTATGTCTCGCTCGGCGCCCTCCTTTTCCTCGCCATCCAGCAGCACCATGAACAGGCGGCCGGCCATGTCGCCCATCAGGTAGCGGCAGCCGTTGGGGTCCACCCGGCCGTAGCAGGTCATTGTGCTCTGCTGCAGAGCACAGGGACGAGGGACGGTCAGGTGAGACTGACGCCGGTGAAATGATCAGGAGCTGGGTACGGATAATGTTCTGAAGGTCTCCTTGATTTTGTTACTCCTCTACTCGGTACTTGAAACGTACAGGTCTCGCGAGATTAAGCGGTAGGTTTTGCACTTTTAGATTTCCGGTTATATCTCAGAAACTAATTGATCTACGATGAAGCCATTTTACACGATCATGGCCGGCTTGTTACCCAACAAGTCGATCGCATCTTCAACACTTAAAAGCTTAAGACGACGAAGATATAGCCTGAAGTACACTAAATTTTCTAGGTGCAAAACCTACCGCTAAAACCCGCGAGACCTGTACGTTACGGTACTTGAGAGGACCGTAAATAATAGCAACGATATTCCAATAGGTGAAATGCCTTTTTGGCATAGTTATAAAGTGCAAATTTGCACCACATCGCAAAATAAAACTTTGAGAACATCATATCGAAACAACAAATAATTTCCAAACAGCACCAAGCATCGCGAGCACTGGCACACTAATTCTGAGACCAGTTACAGGCGTGACACAGCCCCAGCAGGGCACGTGCATCAGACTCCACGAACGCGGCTCTACCTTGAGTATGGGCGGCGCCACTGTGATATAGCTGCTGCCGTTGTGGTAGGTGATGGACTCCTGGCCGACGATCAGAGCCCCGTACAGCGGCGCAGGTACGGGTACGATCATCGCCGCCTCCGGCTCGACGTTCTCCTGTTTCCACGGACTCTGAGGGAAACACAAGGCGCACAGACACATTAACACAAGATCGATCATGGCCGCCTCGGGCTCGACGTTCTCCTGTTTCCACGGACTCTGAGAGCGAGAGAGTACATTAACATACGATCGGTCATGGCTCGACGTTCTCCTGTTCCTACGGACCCTGGGAGAGCGAGTGCGGGCACAGTAACACAAAATGGTGATAGCTAACGGGATAGAACGAACAGCATTAGTCTTTTAGCCATCATCCAAACCTCACTGAAGAACAGGTTAAATAAAAACAGATGGTGACGGGATGAAATGCTGAAAAAGGGAAGGCGATATAACTACAGCACCAGTTCCCTAGCAAAATATAATCTAAATGTCAGTACCCTTACAGTCACAGAGGTGATGTTTAAACTTTAAATACCGCTCACCGCACACAGGCCCTCCCCACTCCGCTCACCCCACGGCCGCTCTCCCGCGCGTTCTCACCCTGATAAACTCCTTCTCCTTCAGCGAGATCTCGTGTGTCTTGACGTGACGACCGTGTGCATCCTGATGAATCAACACTACAGTAGGGTTGGCACAGCCGTACAGAAACTCGATGTCTTGCACCTGTAGTGAATAGAAAATCAACGTCAATGGTAACCATTTAGTATAGCGCACTGATTCAAAACACGACGGTGATACCTATACATTTAACAATACAACATATCCTCATGCTCTCATACCTCTCGCAGATATCCAGCTAGTCATAAAATGTTTTAGTCATACGTCTTACCTCCCTCACTTAACCTCCAGCCCGTCTGCCGCCTCCCCATATCCCCTCATGCGCGACGAACAAAGATTCGGCCATCTCTCGCCACCTGCTCCATCACCTACCGTCAGTTCCTCGAGCCGTATGTTGTAGGCCTTCAGTTCGCCACTCTCCTTCTCCAGCGGGATGATCTTCAGGATACCGTCGTACAGTCGCAGCGCGATACACCGAGACTCCGGGTCGATAATGCCTGCAGCGGCCAGGCAGAAACGGATTAGAACAAAGCAAGACCAGAGCCGGCAAAAAAGACAATTAGACGATAACGTTTCATTAATTATTAATGTCCGAGGCAATTAAGCACTTAATGGAGAGGCAGCTGGACTTGATGTCACTAATCTCGGTACGATTTCCTACGTTACATGATGTTATAACTTGTGGCGCTAAACCAAACAATGGCTCAACAGCCCTACAAGCTTCAAGTTCGATAACATACCATCACACCCGGCACAACCAGACACACGCACTACACACGGCACGTCCCGTGTCAGTGATCACAAACGTACCGATGATACCCGTCTCTGCCGGCTTTCCGATCCGATCTGCCACGTTGCCGTGCACCTTTGTGACAATCTCCAGCGACTCGCCGCGCCCGACACACTCCAGGATCATAGCGTTGTAGTGCTGTGTCACGATGAACAGCAGGTTCTTCTCCTCGTCCTGGTGCAAACAGGGGATGCTTGCTTAGTCAAAAATGGCCGCAACAAAAAATGCAACTTTTGGCAACGGTGATGATGTTGAGAGGAACGCAAAATTAAGAGTGAAATCTGTATCAAAAAGTCACTGGCTGTGAAAGTGTAACACAATAATTGTACTCCACAGATAGCATTCAGGACCATGAGCCAACGCATTCCTTACACAAGGTCTGAAGAGTTTCATGACGGAGATGAGGCCGTAGATGCCGATCTCCTTCACAGGCTGGAGACCCTCGGGTGACACAATGAACACCTCCAGCCGGTTGTTTTTGGCCATGATCAGGTTCAGGTCAGTTGGCGATGTGAAGTTGCCTGGTGAATGGAGTGAATGATTATGTCAGCGGGATCATGGTAAGACATGAAATGAACACAGTCTGAAACAAGATCCACTATTCCCTGGAAACAAGCACAAAGAGGAAACCTACAAGGTTGATGGAAAAGGAATATAATTTCCATTACATAGACGCAGTGGGCGGAGCTTGGAGGCTGTGTACGGTCCGACCGCACACACGGCCCGTGAACAGCCCTCTGAATAAGTTGAGAGGGAGAGGGAGAGGTAGAGGGAGAGGAATTACCTGTCACACAGTGGTTTATTGCTGTGGGCTTCTGAGCTGTCACTACATAGTTGTGTGACATGGTTACTTTTCTTGCTTATATATATGTTCCAGCCAGGGAGAGAGACGGAGAGAGAAAGAGAGAGAGGGAGAGAGAAAACTTACCTGTCACACAGTGGTTTACTGCTGTGGGCTTCTGAGCTGTCACTACATAGTTGTGTGACATGATTACTTTTCTTGCTTAAATATGTGCTCCAGTCAGCACAACAGATTGGCTTCAGACTCCACACTTAACCCAGATGCCTCAGAAGTCAGAAAACATCCTGAAATATGATTTTAAGTTAAACATGGTCAAGTCGATGTCTCTACAGCAGAATGCAGAATTTATTATCATAATTTCACCTTCATAACACTGCAAAATAACTTCCTTACGATGTGCGAGAATTTTGAAGGCCCTTGGGCCTGTGAGACAGGAGACTCTTGACTTATCATGGCATGCTCCATGACAATACCTCTGCATCAGTTGTTAGAATGGGCCAGTCTGCAAAGTATGGCTTGTGGGTCGCTGAGGCGCACTGGCCCAAGTTCAAAATCCGCACCAATCTTTCAAACAGAACCGGAAAATCAGCACCAAAGCCGGGTGAGGATACAAAAAAATCAGTATTCTCTTAGCAGACGTCACCCGAGCTGCCATATCGTTATCGTTAGGTAGGTTGGTTGGCTGTAGGTTGTAGGTTGGTAGGTCAGGTTGTAGGTTGGTAGGTTAGGTTGCAGGTTGTAGGTTGTAGGTAAGGTTAGGTCAGGTTAGATTATGTTTTGTTATATATTTAACCGTGAAAAAACAGCTGTTGCGCACATGAGACTATGTAGATATGGCAGCTCAGGTAACGTCTGCTAAGAGAGTAGGTACCAAAAAATCTTGACCGAACCCGCAAAAGTGACAAGTTGAAAGCCGCACTGACCTCAATTACGGGGCCCTGTTTCACCGGTGATAGCAGCACGCTACTATCAAATTGCGCGAGCTGACGTAATGTGATGAGAGCTCTGTTCGCACCCCGTTTATTTATCAGCAGGCTACGACCATGCTGCTACTTCTTGGCTCCTCATTGGTCGAATTCAAGTGGTCTATTCGCTAGACCAATGAGAGGCCAAGCTGCGCCAGCAATAACTTCCTTATATGGGGAAAACCGACAGCACACTGATATAAAAACAGCAAGCGAACAGAGCTGAGGGATGACGGTGAAAACAGGGCGCCTGGGGCGATTTGATCAAGGTTCGTTAATTTACACGTGATGTTTGGGACATAGAAGGCCCATGGAGCGGGAGAAGTTCCAAATATCACGTGACTAATATGCCCTCCGGCGCCCTGTTTTCACCGGCGTCCGAGCTGAGGTCACACTAATGACGTTTCGTGTAATCCGTGAGCTGCGTTTGGAACAGAGTTGCTGTCTCATTGAATGCGTTTGATAACATTTGTTTGATCGCACGGCTGTGAAGATGTTAGCAGCAATTTTTGATGACATCACACATATTGACGGCATCATGGTTTGTTGATGTTTCCATGGAAACCCAATTTGACACGTGTGATAGCAGCCGGCAGCGTGCTGCTATCACCGGTGAAACAGGGCCCTGATATGTCAGCCATAAGCCTGACCTCTCAGTAGTATGAAAACAAAACGAGATATGCACTGCAAGACTCAGACTAGAACAAAAAGCATGTCAATGTCATGACAATACAAGAACCAAACAGGAGCCCTATCCGGTTACCGGTACCTGCCCGTGGCGATTCATCCACGGTGATAATTGTGCGGACATAGACATAGATTGAAATGTTTTGAATTTAAAATGGTTGAAACTGGAACTATACCAAAGCGGAAAGCCGGCTAAGCCATACCTGCAACTATATATGGCCTTGGTTGAAACTCTTTATTTCTATGGTTGAAACGTTTCTTATAGGTATCTTGGTTGAAACAGTGAGTCGAATATATTCAAAATTCAAATACCGCATCCACCACAACAACAATTACACGAAAATGCGCTTTATGAACTTCTCTGATTCACACCAAGCGAGCAGAGTCAGCTGACTATTTTGTTGTAATCCTAGCGGTGAGAAATTAACCTAAGAAATAATTTTGCTTAAATAACCTTCAATCATCCTCTTTGTCCGTTTTTAATCATTTTTTTTTTAATATTTGTAATATTTCAACGGCAAAAAAGGATTTTATTATTGCAACTTTAAATAAACAAAATAAAAATGCATTTTTATCAGTTTAGATCAGCCCCAAATTAAACCGAACTAGATACAAAGTTTGTCCCAGCTGCGTGATTATTGTCGAATTTCAAAATCTTTTGTACACGCGGTCGGAGACCGGCGAATGCGACAACTTATTTGTGAGAGGTGAGTTCCATTTTTTTTCAGTTACAGTTCTATATATACCTATACCGTTGTGAGTTCCCTTGGCCTGTTTGTGAGATTTCACCATGGGATATTGATATTGATACGGCTCCTGGCCACTGAGGGCCCCGCGCCGACGATGACGGGGAGTTCTTCTATAGCCTTGGATGGCGGCCCCGTACCGGCAATGACGGCCCCGTATCGGCAATGACGGCCCCGTACCGGCAATGACGGCCCCGTACCGGCAATGACGGCCCCGTACCGGCAATGACGGCCCCGTACCGGCAATGACGGCCCCGTACCGGCAATGACGGCCCCGTACCGGCAATGACGGCCCCGTACCGGCAATGACGGCCCCGTACCGGCGATGACGGCCCCGTACCGGCAAACGACGGCCCCGTGCCGGCCATGACGGTCCCTCACCGGACATGACGGCACAGCCCCCATATCAGCAATGACGGCCCGTACCCGCAATGACAATGATGGCCCTTTGCCGGGCGTAACAGCACACTGCCCCCACATTGGCAATGATAGTCCCATACCGGCAAGGACGGCCCCATACCTGTAATGACGGTCCCATACCGGCAGTGGCGGCCCCATACCGCCACTGCCGGTCCATACCCCATCCCATAGTGTCCATGTCCCATCCCCCATACCCCATAGTGTTTTTATATACCTTGACCGGCACGGACGGCCCCATACCTGTAATGACGGTCCCATACCGACAATGACTTCACTCAATATACCTACCCTGGGCAATGTAATGACGGCCCGTACCAGCAATGACGGCCCCTTGCCGGTAATGGCGGCCTCATACCGGCAAGTACGGCCCCATACCTGAAGTGACAGTCCCATACCGACAATGACTTCACTCAATATACCCTGGGCGATGTACAATGACGGCCAATGACGGTGTAATGACGGTGTACTGACGGCCGTAATGAATGACGGTGTAATGACGGCCCAGACCGGCAATGACGGCCCGTACCGGCAATGATTCAAGACCGTATGCAATGACGGTCCCGACCTAAAACCTCCCAGCGCCGGCGCCCGGCTTCATTACTAATTTGGATGAAACTTTAATGAAGCACTGGGAATGATTCGTTAGTACCTACCTAGTACCTATACTGATCTCGACTCATCCAATCTGGCTGAATTGTGCGCCGATTGACCTCTGCATATGAATTATTAAGCATAGGTATACCTTGGGTATACCTACATAGCAAGGTCTTGCAGGAAAGCTGAGGCTCTTTGTCTGAAAAGCGAATATACCTAGGTGCAGGTGCAGGTGCAAATAAAAAAGAGGTTTGTTGTAGTAGACTTTTTATGGTTTGCACGGTTCTTACGATTTTAAACCGTGATAACATTGTATAGATGTACACTATATAGTTGCATTTTTCAGTTAGAATATCATGATTGACCCATGACTGTTGCATGACCGAGGGCATGACCCATGCATTTGAATGTTGAAGATACCTATGCACAACGCATATACCTATATATTCACTAAAGGTGTGCATTGTTACATGTCCTACAGTACACACGACACAATAAATTTGTGAACATTCATATTGGGTAGGTGACCCTTACTCCGTGAATATACAAATGCACATCGAACAAATCGCTCTGCTTGCTAGTTGCTACACGAACGAAATATGCAGATCAGATCGATACAACGAGCAGTAACAAGTGCAAGGGAAGTGCAGTGCCTTAGTAAGAGGCGAGCAATTTGCGGAGCACATCGTGATGCCAAATGTCCGCCGAAAACCGCAGGCTGACTATCGCAAGGCAACTTTTGATACGTTATATCACACTTCGGGCATACATGCAGATTTCTTATCTTATTGTGTAACAGCAATATCCAAGTCCAGTTATTTGGATGGGTCGTGGACTCGTTCGTGACTCGTGAAACCGATGATATAACCATGGCGGCTATCATAATGCATTATCATCGAATAGAACGGCGATTTAATTCAGTCGGATGCTCCTGGATCCGAAATTATAGTTAGTCGCGTTTCACGCAATAACATTGCCGTATTTCCCGTTTACGGTACGGGAACGGTATTTCTACTTCATAGTTCATGGTCACTTCCCCTCATGGTAGAGGGATGGTCGGAACAAGTCTTTGGCCGACGCACCTTGCACCATGTAGCAATGGGGCTGATTGTTAGCGCGCTCAGCACTCAGCACTTCGTCTGGTGATCGCTGGTCATTCACCTCAGTTGCCGACACCCTGTATCACCGATATACGAGTAAAGTATATCACTGCCGTCCCGCCGATGCAGTGATACTCGGTTTTCTCGATCGGCAGCTCGGTTTTCTCGGTTTTCGGCCCGGCAGACAGTCGACTTGGCTCATACCATACCAGTCCCTCCCCGAGTTCACACGGTCAGATCACGGTCTTCCGAGCTTCCCGGGATAGTTCAACAAAGCACGAAAGACGCCGTGGCTGCCGCCCGGTCTTGGCAGTTGGCACAGCGCACCGGAGGATAGCACTCAGTCCCAGGCCGTCTCAAAGGATGCCGTAGTGGTGCATGGCCGCCATGACCCCGCACCAGACCAGCAGCGCGGCCATGCCGATCGCCAGTGCCACCGTTTTGGGCCGGCCCCACGTCTTCATCTGCACGTCGGGCTTGCGGTCGGCCGGCTGGCCGCCCTCCTCGAGGCACGAGCAGTGCCGGTCGCACTGGCACAGCGGCTGCTTCTCCTCGCTGGTGCGTTGCGTCTTCATCTCGAGCGGCGGCGGCGACTCGGCGGCGCCCGCGGTCTCACTGTCGGCCGTGAAGGCGCCGTTCTCCATCCTATCAGCGGCAGATAGCCGGCCAGCTCAGAGACCTGCCCGGCAAGAACAAACACGGTTATCGAGAGCAATGGTCAGTCGTGTGCGGCCGTCTCCGCCCCCTGCCCCGGCTGACCGTAGGTGTAAACATTGCTACTGGTGCCGTGGGCACTCGACAGGGCGGCGAGACAAACCTGCACTACGCCGCTCGAGGGCAGAACAATAAACGCAAGGTGCACCCAAGATGGTGCACCGCTTATTGTTGTGCTAATGTTGCACGGCTGGTGTTTCTCCGTTTTTCAGCACGATCGTTTGAACGTGACGAGTGGCCGCAACGGGCTCCGTTGCGCGTTGTTTGCTGAAGTGCAGTACCACGACGGAGCCCCACCCGACTTTAGGAGAAAGCGTGGATACACATTATACTGGACAAGTAATGGTGGCAGTGGCTTATGCACCGTAAGCCGTGCGATATCACGCACGCTTTGGCAGAAAGAAGAAGAAAAAACGCAAAACTGACTCATAACCATGGTCACAGGGATGAGACACTGTGCTCCGCATTATTGACATGAGCACATTTTTGGTGTTTCTGTCGCTCGATATCAACATTTATTAGGCGAAGAGAAGAAAAGAGCCGTTGGTGACCGTTTCAGACGTCACATGACCGATAAAAAAGATAAAAAAGCTGTGTAAAATGTGGGTCACGGATAGAATTTTCTGACGCAATGTTTGATTCCCAGTCACCTACTTAGTTGAAAGCGTTTAAAGGAAAAGGGCCACCTTTAACATGGGGATTGAAACTGAGATAGCCATCTTGTAGCCCATGTCCGAAAACCTATCTGTCTACCTCCTTACGGCCGATTTCGGCCTCCATTCGTAGTTATCGGCAATTTTAAAAGAAAATACGCCAGGAATGCGTCCTTATCCCAGGAATGCGTTCTTATCCGACAATACAGCCACCCGCGGCGAGGCTTTGGTTTTTTACCAATCAGCTCCAACCAGCTCAGCTTTAACCAGGGCATATTTTAACAAATTTTTACTGCGTCCCAAAGTTGAGCAGAGGGCACGTGCTACGACTAAGGGCACAGGGCAAGGAACAGAGTAGGGCACTGAGGAGGGCAGAAAGTAGGGCACGGCAGGTTGCAGGGCATGGCACAGGACATTTAAGATGGAAGGCCGGGTACAGGTCAGGGCAGACAGCAGGGCACAGGTCAGGGAACCGGACAGGGCAGGGACGCAGCGGGTCAAAGTAGCAGGGGCTACGTCCCAAGGCGAGGGGGCTGCGTCCCAAAATGGGACGCAGTAAGTGCCTTAAAATATGCCCTGGCTTTAACCAATCAGCTTATCTGACACAATCCGACGAGTCTGTCTTCTGAACGCTGATTGGCTTGAGTGTGACGTCATCGCTATGCCATCATACAGTAGGTGCCGTAGAGAGTATCAACATAGTACCAATATGTTAAATAGTTTTAAATACTTTTTCGCGAATTGTGCACTTCTGGCACCAGTTTTAAAAAGAAAATGAAAAATAATAATGTCAAAATGAAAAACAACGATATCTTCATATTTCACGAAGGTGGCCCTTTTCCTTTAAAATGGCACGTACGGAAAAGAGCGAAGTTTCGGAATCCCCCATTGACTTGGCCTATGCCAGGCAGGTCATAAATGGACCTGACGTACCTATGGTCAACGGTAGGCATAGGTATTAGCATAGATAACATGAACTACCTGGATTGGACACTCGTTTTTGGCGCCAAAAATAAGAGGCCACTTTGGCCTCTTATTTTTAAAGGCGGCCTGTAACACTTTTGAGAGGCTGATATCTCAGCAACCACTGGGCCGATTAGCCTGCGGTCTTTTTTGTTC